CCCCAAAACCCCAAAACCCCATCTAGTGCTAATACAAATTTTTTTCAGTTAATGATTTTTAAATTAATAAAGAATATTTAATTCAAAAATATAGCTAAACATTGATAAATGCAAAATTTAACTAGCTTTTCACCAGCATCTATCAAAGCTCTCAAATTTGATTACTGCGATAATCTTTAATAGTAAAACTACTTAGCCAGTTGCTAGTAAATAAAGGATCTTATAAATATTGAAAGAAAACGTGGACTCAAAATTAATCCCTACACTAGAAATCAAAATAATCCAGTTAGTACTAAAACAAGATGATAGATTTTAAGAGTGATGCTCAACACCGCCTGGAAATGCCAGGTTTCAGATTTCTCCTTTTTGACTTCAATATTTTACTTTGATTAAGTCAATTAAGAGCTCTACCTGTCGCCTTAAACTATAGTAGGATCATTTAGAGGGATCAGAGGTGGCACCTAATTGAACTAAGATGTGAACTAATATGAGTTAGGTTTAACATGCCTTTATCTTGCTGCTAAATATGAGGACTTGAAATATCCCTACTTCGATACGCTTAAGAAATTCTTTATTGATGGACTGATTGAGAGATAATTGTTTGAAGAAGCAGATAATTTAAAAAATTTTGAAGTCTTAAATCATGAGGCACTGATATTTAGCTTACTTTAGTTTGACATGCATTAACCATCAGCAATTAGATATTATGAGAGACTTGCAAAGGCATCTTGCATACTCAAAGATTCATAGAAATATCTACTGGGATTATATCTACTGCATATAGTGGCATTTTATCCCAGTTTTGGATTTGATTTCAGCTAAGTTTAAATAGCTTGTACTGTTATAGCCACAGTTAATAAAATATATAGTCTCCGTCTAGAAGTTAGAGGGTATATTACTTCTATAACAGGTATTACTATCAAGGATATAGGCTTTTGCAGCCAAAAATTATTAATGAAGTACATTTAAATGTATAAAGGAAAAAATGATAAATTAGCCAAGAATAGTCTTATAGTTTGTAAGTTTGGACAGGATTTATATTAAAGAATATCATTAATAGAGCCTCAAGAGTTCCTTAGAGATCTTACTAGTGGCCTTTGAATTGTTAATAGTATTTTTATTTTATTAAATGTCTAAAATCTGTATATTTTTTGCTTTCGGGGTTTTGGGGTTTTGGGGG